ATTTCTGGAGACATGTCCTGTGGTCTGATGAAACTAAAACTGAACTGTTTGGCCATAATGACCATCGTTACATTTGGAGGAAAAATGGGAAAGCTTGTAAAGCTGAGAACATCATCCCAACTTTGAAGCACAGGGGTGGCAGCATCATGTTGTGGGGGTGTTTTGCTGCAGGAGGGACTGTTGCACTTCACAGAGGAACAATGAGGAAATATTGAAGCAAAGCTTGGGCGCAAATGGGTCTTCCAAATGGACAATGACCTGAAGCATACCGCCAAATTAGTGACAAAGAGGCTTCAGGACAACAAAGTCAATGTCTTGGAGTGGCCATCACAAAGCCCTGATCTCAATCCTGTAGAAAATGTGTGGGCAGAGCTGAAAAGGTGTGTGGAGCAAGCTGGGCAACAAACCTGACTCAGTTACACCAGTTCTGTCAGGAGGAATGGGCCAGAATCCTATCAAATTATTATGAGAAGCTTGTGGAAGGAAACCCAAAACGTTCGACCCAAGTCATACAGTTTAAAAGTGAGGCTGCCAAATACTAAGAAAATGTATGTAAACTTCTGACTTTGAAGAAAGTAGTAAAAAATTCTTATTATTCTGGCGTTTAGCAATATAAATAATTGTATAAGCCTAACTGACCTAAAACAGGAAAAGTTTAGTCTGGTTTAATGTCAGAGTGAGGGGGAAAAAAAAAAGGTTGTCACACTATGAACAAGTACATTTGAGTACATATAATCATTTATCAAATATATACCCCGACATGTTTACGCTGATAAATACAATTATAAACAGCTATAAAGCCGAGGGAAGTGTTTAACCCTAAAATTTTGTCTCAGTAATACCAACGCATCTGTTTTTCAAAGTTACATTTAGGCTATAACTTACTGAACTAACTTAAGGGTCCATAATTTCTGAATAATGTTCAGGAGTGTTTGCTGAAAATAAATATGTAAAGTGGTACAAATTATAGAGAAAATAAAGACAAAATCTGTTAATTCTGTTACATTTAGTTACTTCCATTGTTACGCTGATGACATCCAACTATACATTTCCACTAAATCTGTCGACTCCCAAACCCATGCCACCCTCTCAAACTGCCTTACCGATATTAACTTCTGGATGCAAAATAATTTTCTCAAACTCAACTCCAGTAAATCCGACATCCTCATTATTGGTCCCGATTCCCTCACCTCTGCAGTCCAAGATTTCCATCTTTCATTTGAAAACTCTTCCCTGTCACCCTCGCCCCACTGCCGTAACCTAGGGGTCATTTTCGACACCAAACTCACCTTCACCAAACACATAAATTCTGTTACTAAAACAGCCTTCCACCATCTGAAAAACATCGCCCGCCTCCGCCCCTCTCTCTCACTCCCCGCTGCAGAAACTCTCATCCACGCCTTCATCACATCACGCATTGATTACTGCAATAGCATTCTCTTCGGTACCACCTCCAACCTCCTCAATAGACTCCAATACATTCAAAACTCTGCCGCCCGCCTCCTCACCCACACCCGCTCCAGAGACCACATCACCCCTGTTCTTCAAAACCTTCACTGGCTTCCCATCCCATTCCGTATCAACTTCAAAATCCTTCTTCTCACCCACAAAGCGCTCCATAATCAGGCCCCCTCTTACCTCAAAGACATGCTCCGTCCCTACACCCCTTCACGTACCCTCCGTTCCGAAAAATCAAAACTCTTGATCGTTCCCAGGTCCAAGCACCGAACCTGGGGGGATAGGGTCTTTTCTGTCGCCGCCCCCACCCTCTGGAACTCCCTCCCACAACATATACGAGACACCTCAGACCCAGCAATATTCAAATGTAAATTAAAAACTCATCTGTTCCGCTTCGCTTTTCCCACCTAGGCCTCGGCTCTATTTCGATATTTACTGTTTTCTTGTTTTTTATTTTTTATCTTTTTATTTTTCACCTGCTTGCTGTATTTCTATATTGTCAACCTTTGTATTTATTGCTTGTTGTTTAATGCTTTTATTGCTTTGCTTTTATCCTGTGAAGCGTCTTTGAGTTCTTGAAAAGCGCTATACAAATAAAATGAATTATTATTATTATTTATTGATGACACAGTTTAGCTGTGAACATGGCAACAGCTAAAAACTTTGTAAAAACACTGTAAATGGTATAACTGCATCACCCCCCACCAAAATCAAGTTCACATGAAAATGTTGATACATGTTCATAAAAACTGCATTAAAATATAAACATTATGAACTTTGCCGGCTTTGCTTTTCTACAAATTAGTTTTGAGGTAAAAATCAAGAAAGACTCACTTCAGTGTAATACATGTAAAATGATCAAGATTAGAGTTCCAAAAATATTGAAAAGACAAAAGAATACAGTAAAAGTAAAAATAAAAAAAAAACAAAAACAAAACAAAACCAAAAAAAACAACACACAAAGCTTTGTAATAAAAACCTAAATCCACTACTCTCTTGGCCTCCAATAAAAAGAAAAGAAAAATGCAACTTAGTTTCTGAAAAGTTAACACTTTCAGAGGCACAAGGCTTTCATTCAACAAAGATAAAATTGTTGTTGGCATTCCGGCGTCATATCTGTACTCAACATCCAACTATGCAACTGTAAACCAAAGGCGCAACTAATAAGTTTGACATTTTGGGGAAGACCCTTGTTTTCTTGCTTGTTTTCATTATTTTTATATTCACGAAGTATCACATTGTCCATTTACAAGTTCACCTCCACAGCTAGCATTTGTGACAGCCAGCAAACTAATGCTGCTCTACTTAATATTGTTCCCAATACCCATGGTTTTCTTGAAATTAGAATACAGAATTGTGACTACCTGCTGTGCACCAAACACCAGAAAAACCCAGTAAACATAGAGCAGCATTAAGCAGCATTTGGCTGGATGGATGCTGTAATCATTTGTTATAGAAAAGCATCCAGATGCAGAGTTCTTGTGAGTTTGTTAGAAAATGAACAAATGAGTGGACGAATGAGAGTTCTACAGTTTTATACATAAAGTGGTATTTCACCAAAATGTCACACTTACTAATGGTAAAATTTTCTTTTAAAAACTGTTGGTCCAGTTTCTCAAAGACTAAAATAAAGAAGAGCACATTAAGTGAACTTTTTCATGTAGCGCAGCTTCAGATAGCCGATGGCGAGGCAAATAGTTGCGATCACAGTCAGAGCGACATGATTCTTCCACAGTCCCCATACAGTGGGCTCTATTCCCAGGTACATCAGATACTGCTCTCCTGTACATCTGGAAATAGACACATCAAAACTGTATGTTACAAACCAGTAGCATACGACTGGAACATGTATGTACTGTAACACGGTTCCACTCACACATCACCAATCCTGGTCATCGTGCAGTTGCTCATTTCAGCTGACATGTTGCGGTTTTGGATCACGGAATCCTCACAGATCTTCAGACCAACAAACTCATTGATCTGCAAGGCCTGTAGGTGGACAGCAGATGAGAGTGAGCAGAACAAAGGAAATATGGTGCATGCTACAAACTGGACTGTCAGTATCTACGGTTGAAACCAGAAGTTTACATACGCTGTACAAAAAGACAAAACCTCCCTTAACAGGCTTCCTCTGCACATAAGACAAACCGTGAATTTCAGTCGTTTTCTATATTTTAGCATCATTTGTCTATAATCACCACAAAGAGCGCAAAAGACATAGTTCATGGATCTTTCGTTGATGTAGCGTGCACACATAGACCTCTCTGAAATCTTCAAAAGTTTGAAGTTTAATTTGCTGCTCACAGCTGTTTGTAAGGATCTTTCCTCTGAATTTATGCAGCAGCAGCAGCAGATCCATATGAGCATCTCCAAAGCAAGAGAGTTGTGTCCTTTTATGCACATTGTAACTTTGTTAAACACTTAGTCTCTATCCTTAGCTGCCTCAAGCAGGAGGTGGCTGGAATGAAAGACTTGCACTACCAAAAAAGATTTGGTAACAAATTAACCCCAATGTGGGAACAAATTATACGCAAGATACGAATGATGATGTATATATTTTTCATGTATATATTTGATGCAATTCTTTTTCTCTCTGTAGCTTTGAACACATGTATTGTGCAAACATTTTATCAGCTTATCCACTGTGCCATTATTGTACTTGGCATGTGGTCTATAGGTTAGAATAAAATTAGAAGAGATCAGTTGCGCCAATCTATAAAAGTAAACTTGTTGTCCATATGTATATAAATAGTGGCATGTATGTCAACCCATATGTAACATTCAGAAGTCAAAGCATTCTCTGTGACGATCCTTCTGTCTGTATGCTCTTCTGTCACAACTCTTAGTTTGATTTAAACTTACTGCAAGAGCGTAACGAGGAATACTGAAGTACTTCAGCCAAGACAGCCAGCTCGCGATGCTGGGAAGGTTCACCAGGAGGCCTGAAAAAATCTAAGAACAACACAAACTCAGTCTAAAGGACAAGAACCTTATTTTCACTGCCGGGGGTCTTTAACAACATTTCTTCCTTCAAATGTTTTATGTGTCTCAACATGTTTGTCAGAGTTTGCTGTGGCTCTCACCATCATGAAGACAAAGGTGATGGTAATGATGACTGTGGCGGTAGACACACTGCTCTGGCCAGCTGCGATGGCTGTGGCCATGGTTGTGGCTGTGCAGGTCAACAGATTCACGGTCAGCGTGAAGATAAAAAAGGCTTCTGCTGTGGTCTTGAACACTGAGTGGAAACACAGAAGACCAAATAATGAGATGATTTTGTATTTAAATTAAGTGTACAGTCAAATAGAAGAAAGAAAAAAAACAAAACTCCATAATTCAATCAGTTCATGGAGCTGTGAGTCTTACTAATCAAGAAATAGATAATAACGCAGAAGATCAAAGTGGTGGCGACGCGCAGAGCGAAGTCAACCAGGATCTTAGCGATGAAGTAGACCGACACTCTGTAGTAGCCACTGATGTACTCATGCCTAGAAGAAGAAAAGAAACATTCAGCATGACTCAGCCTTCTCATTGCAAATTGAACTTTGAACAAAGAAGTCACATTAATGTCGGTGTCCAGAGTACATACACAAACAGTTTCCTCTCGGTGATGAAGAGTTCAGCTGCAGACACGACGCTGAAACACTTGTTGGTAGTGATGAAGAAGAGGGCACCCATCCTGAAGGAAACGACAAAGTAAAATCTGGTCACTCAGTCTCTCCTGGTCAACACCGTTTCATAACAAAGTATGCAGTTACTAATGCTGACTCCAAGTGCCCACAGAGACAGAGAGAAAACATCTGTCCTATTGTAAATCAAAGTCAGTCCTCTGCTGAGTCAAGGACAACAAATGTGATTATGTTCACTAGTATCCTAGTTTTCATTACAGTTTTAGATGCTGGTTAGTATCCAAACTCAGGACAATATGGTACAGGTAGATGTACTCAGTGAAAGAGATTAAGTGAGAGTGTTTGTGCATTATAAGTTGACTTGTAGGACATCTTTGCTGGATTAGACAGGCTTTAAAAGACAACAGCCCACAAAGACACACAAAGCCAAACATATTATAGTGAGTATATTGATTAACTGCTGCAATGCAACACAACCTCATCCATTATTGGGTTCATTATTTGCAAATACAGTCAAGTGAAAAAGAAAGCACATGGCAGCTGATGAAATAGAAAGCTGACCTTTTGTTAATAAAATTTAAAAAAAAATAAAAAAAAATAAAAATAATAATCTGCCACATTGACAAGTACACCCTTGCATCATATCTACAAGTCCATAAAATTAAAGATCAGAGGTTCCAGATTAGCTGTGAGTGATTATAATCTCTTAAGGGACTCACAGGTGGAACTAATTGTATCTTTTTTTTTTTTACACCACAAAGTAAATGTACATTTTAACATCCATGTTTGCATACATATTAAAAAGCAACTGACTCCAGTTGAAATCCTGATATCTGATCCTGCAAGGAGTGAAAAGGTTGGAGGGGTGAATAAGTTGAACCTTTTAAGCCACATACACTGGTGTCTGACATGCTGCCTATGCCCTGACTTCAATATAATGACATTATGTTCTTATATTTCACTGAAGCATGCAGAGACAAAGAAAGAGTTTTCCAATGTGCTGGACTTGCGAGTACCAGGTTGCGCCCAATAAAATATGGTAAGAGGATTAGCCAAGATGGAATTACTCTGCTCTTTCACACTTCTTTATCAAAAGCAGAAATGTACACCAATCAGCCAGAACATTAAAGCCACCGGTTTAATATTGTGTAGGCCCCCCGCGTGCCGGCAAAACAATCGGATCCATCGAGGCGCAAATTCCCCAAACCTCTGAAGGTGTCCTGTGGTAGAAGACACCGAGATGTTCGCTGCAGATTTTTGAAGTTCGGTCAATCGTGAAGTGGAGTCTTTATGGATCAAACTTGTTTTCCTATCGCATCCCACAGACAATTTATCTGATTGAGATCACACCACTGCTATGACCCAGTCAAGCAATCGCTGTTTGGTCTTTGTCACTCAGACCTTTACACACATCAGCTTCAAGCTCTGACTGAACATAGTGCTGGTGCAGTTATAACGAGATAGTCAATGTTAGTCACTTCATCTGTCAGTGGTTTTAATGTTGTGGCTGAATAATGCACTTAACCGGAACATTTTTCAGGAAACATGTTGTCCAGTCTATATAGGTGCAAATAACATTTTAAATAAATGTGTTTAGTCTCCATAATTTCTGTGAGAGCTGCTGCTGACAGCTGAAAGTTAGATGGTGTGTTTGTGAATGACCACAGAAAGTATTTACTCAGAAATGCAGGTTTATTGTTAATAATTCTGTAATGTATAAAGTGTCAAATATTAGGATGCGACTTCTGATAGCTGTGGACTTCTAAGGACACCTGCATTGTGTATTTGAGCAGCTCTGTCACCTGTTCTGGAGTCCACTCTGATCATCTTTAACCTTGAAGAAAATGGCTCCTACGACGAGAGCGAGGATAAAGTTGACTGCGAGCTGCACAGGCAAAACCAGAAGATTTAGAGACTGTGATGACCTTCTAGGAAGTTCTGATACATTATATAAATACATAAAAATCTAAAAATGTATACACATAATATGCTGGTCAGCTGTTTATGAAACTTATGAACGAAGTTCATTTTAACAGAAACTAAACCTTTAGCCGTAAGGTCTAACTTTGTGAATGTTTGGAAGAAAAGTGAAAATGCTGGTCAAGTGTGAAGGAATAAAATGAGCAATCAGTACATTAACTCCCATTATAGCTAAAACAGAAATCAGGGTTTTCTAGTGTTTACCCTCCTCCTCCAGAACTGCTGGTGGGGGAAACGACAGAAAAGAGTGAGAAAAGTGAAAGCGACACATGTTTTAAGCCTAACAATTTACAGATTATGACTGGACCAAGCGGTTCCCAGGGTGAAGGGATAAGCCAATAAGGTTGAGCCTTTTTTCACCTAATTCCCCTCAGCCCCTCATGTGGAAGCAGGGCAGTGGAGGGATAGGTCATGATGCAATCATGTGATGACTCCCAGACCAGGGCCAAGGGCCTTTAGCCAGATATGATATCAGTTCAGATCCTGGCCCAAAGAGGCAAGAGTGGGGTCACAACAGTCACCAAAGCCGATTACAGCACCCACACCACCTAGAGCCTCTCTTGTAGGATTATTTTGACTTATTTAGGGCCAATTAGCTGTTAATAATTCTTAAAGTGAGGAGACTTCTAACGGCATTTTGCCGCCATGGGTCGACTAATGAGAGCATTAAGCTGACCCCTCCAAAATGCTGTCTGTGCATCCTGTTCATGATGAAAGTATCAACACAGATTAGTTCATGCACTTTTCTTTTAAAGGTGACAAGCCATTATGTTTAAACGTGTGACCTAAAAAACAGAAAACCAAAAAACTAATTAGATTTAAATGTGTCAGAGCTACAGACTTATGACTTGACAGGTCAGAAAAATAAGGACATGTAGCTCAAGTCAGACTTAACCAAAAGACTTAAAATTTCATTTACTAAAGATCTGTAATTGATTGGATAAGACAAAAACTCGATTTTTAAACACAATATCTAATGTTTGCAGATGCAGCTGCCAACATCACAGTAAAAGAGACAAAAAAAATCTAAATCTGAACAGAGAAATTAGGCTAAAATGAGTTTGTAAATACATGAAGCAGTGGCTGAAAGAATTACACTTTTTGGTAAATATGCTAATTTGCTTTTTTCCCCCAAATTGAGTTTTTCTGCATTAATGGTGAAGCCTTTGTTTTTAAGTCTGCCCACCTTCTTTGGTGACCCTGTCAGCCTTTTGGAGGTGCTTGGTTGTTCTAATTTCTATGACAATCTGGGAAATACACTTATTTGCTAATGAATCACATAAGATTGATACCACACTCACATCTGGACTATTTCTTGGAAAAAAAGGTTTTTCAGGTCAAGAAACAGCCCAACACATAACTCCTGCAAAATGCCAAATTGTCATATTTACTCTGAAGTCAAACAAACGAGATATAATCTGCTAGGGAGCTTATGAGGTGCTGGAAGGTGGATTTTGTTACCTCAAGACTAATGTCTTACCTTTTCTCTAGTCTTTATCAAATGCTTATCATTTGCCAATGGTAGTTTTATATTTTCCCTACAGACAAGAAGGTCATCGACCTTGTCATTTAACTTTTTTGCCAGAAAGTGAATGAACATATTTCTCAAAATGCCCAACAGCGGCTGTAAGTCTATGTATAATAATAAAGACACATTTACCTGGACCACAGATATTTGCTGAGTTAACATGACGTTCTTAAAGGTTCTCCGAAGAACCCATCGTAACTGGTTGAGGAAGGAGCTGTTGTAAGTGACAGTGTGGAACACTGGACGTGATGTAAGCCTCTTATTCCTGAAGATGCGATCCTGTTCAGTTTGCATGCTTCGGAAGCATTGGCTTTGCTTGTACTTCTCCACCAGGGACTCCTCGATGTGCCGATTCGGGCTGTCGAGCTCCTCAATGCTCAAGTCTGTCCATGTATACGAGAAGTAAATGAGAAATTTAATCACAGGAAATAAATATGACTATGGAAGATGTTACCAGAAAAAAATATTACCAGAAAAAAAACATAAAGAATGTTATGTAATTTAATGTTGAAATGGAGGAAGATTTAACCACTACATTTGTCCGATGAGGCCCATACAGAAAATGTTGGAGCAAATATGAACAAAAATGGTCCCAACTACGTGGTGCAGCAAGCCATTCATTTATATTAGATTTTTTTTGTGTATGTTTTACATCCTTGCAGATGTGAAAAGCCTGTCTATTGCATATTGTTTAAATGCCTTTTAACATGCTATATGAAACACTTTAAACAACCTGTTAAAAGCTGCTATACAAAAAGCCGCTACCTTGAGATACGCCATTCTGTCCATTAATAACATCCAGAAAGAAGTCAGCTGGGTTGTTCTTTGCCTCATGTGAAAACCCTGGAACACAGACACAATGACTGTTTAATATCACTACAAATTTAATGCTGGACATACTGTGGCCATGCTGTTTTTTCCACAACTATACAACCTTCTACATTTACTAATTTAATAGAACTTTAAAAGCAGAAAGAAGACCATAAAGATGTATCTTATGTTGATACTGAGTTCTGAAAGCATATAGTTACCACTGCTGATAAAGTACTCCAAAGCGTCTGGTGCTGATCCGTGATACACCAATTTGCCATTCACCAACAGGGTCAGCGTGTCAAACAGTTTGTAGATGGAGTAGCGAGGTTGGTGGATTGAGAAAATAATGGTTTTTCCATTGTCGGACATTCTGAAAACAGCCATAATAAAAAAGAAGAAAATGTGATCTAAAACACGAGCATTATTTTCAATTTCAAGTGGCAGAAGTAAGAAATGAAACCCATGGGCTGCTTCTTTGTGATGCACAAACACCTCTACACTCTTCAGCATGAAAACTAAAGAAGGAGGTGTTGTGAGGTGGCACCACTATGAATTGATGCTGTACAGAGGGGGATGTGTAAATGATCCCACCTGACTACCCAATAGCCAGAATTCGGACTGCTGAGCTGTGGATGCTGGAGCACATTGTTCAGATCAAGAGGGATCATTCATTAGATTGTGTCTTTTTTGCTTTTGTATTGAATTTTAAGAGGCCATGTTTCTAAAATGTCTTGAGTGAAACACCTTTTAACTGCAGAAATCATGAACACTGCAAACGTAAAAGCTGGGTAAAAATGAACTGAGGGATGGATCATGGTAGTTAGACACAACACTAAATGGAATAACAAAAACACAACAATTTGTTATTTAACTAAGGTAAAAACTGAGGTAAAGATGAAACATTTAAAGATAAGGAAAACTGAGGTTTAATTAACTTTTCACTGTAATAAAATACAGTAGAGTACACATGCAAACATGCTTGCTTTAAGAATAGATTGTGTTACTATTAAACTGTAGGCACTAAATGCAAACTTAATCCAAAGGCTCAGTGTTCTTGCTTTACATTTTCTCCATGCTGCAAGTCAGAATAATGCAGATGACGAGACAGACCATTTTAGAAGTCAATCTAATACCATATTTTACCCTGGAATATATATTTAAAAATGCACTGAAAAGGAGAACTTTGAATCTGAAGGCATATCTCCAGAAATCCTCTGGGGAAAAAAAAGTTAATGAAAAATCTGAGAGACAACAAAGTTTCAGTTTTTCATTACCTTTTCAGCAGCTGCAGGACAGTGTTGGCAGTGCTAGCATCCAGCCCTGTGGTCGGTTCATCCAGAAACAGAACTGCAGGATTAATAATCAGCTCCATACCAATGCTGGTCCTCTTCCTCTCTCCTCCTGAGATTCCTCGGGACAACGGTGTGCCCACCTGGAAAAAACATCCCCACACAAGATTCCACACAACATGGATCAATGAACCTATCTTGACTCTCACCTGATCACTCACCAGATGAGTAATGTGTGATTATCTACATACCTTGGAGTCAGCCACTCTTGTGAGACCTAGATCTCTAATGAGTTCGTTGACTCGAGCCTCCTTCTCACTCTGTGGCACCGAGCTCGGCAGCCGCAGGGCTGCAGAAAAACGCAAATTCTCCCTCACAGTCAGGGTGCCCAAAACCACATCATCCTAGAAGAGAGACAAGAAGTAGTCATCGCCATCAATCATTTCTTTATTCCTGCTCTTCTTCATTTGTTTGCAACTGACTGCATTTCCACAGACTGGTCATGCAAAGAACAAGAGACTTAATAGGGTTTAAAACAACCAACTCTGGTGCTAAAACTGCTGTAATCAATGCTTTTACAGTAACAGGATCAAGGCCTGCATGTAATGTGAAAGGCACCGCTTTTCCTACACTTTCTAGTGTCTTTCAGGATACAGATTAGATTTTTTTTACAGCCCACAATATTTCATTTACTCTCATCCATCTTATGTCTGAGGTTTCAGCTTTTTTCTGTGAAATAGCTCTAAGAAACCAACTGGATGCTACCTGTCAATCATTAAACATCACACACACTCACACACAGTACGTTACAAGGTGGCAAACACAGTGGGAGCTTGTGGAGATGAAACAAAAGAATGAACTTCAGACTCTAAATGAAAGCTACTGGCACCTGTGGTTCACTATATCAACTGAAAAGGTATTATCAGTGTTGCATTAATGTTTCCAGCGCATTCAAGTAGCCAAAAAAACAAACAAACAAACAAAAAAAAACACAAGGGTTTATGCAATTTAAAATAATTTAAATTCACCTGGACTACATAGCCAGAGAGGGACTTGAAGTTCGGAAGCTGTGGTGCTCCATCAATAAGAACGTCCCCTGAGAGTCCGGTGGAATCTTTCCTTGCAGCCAGAATATCCAAGAACCTACAAAAAAACACAACATTTAAATATACCTGCAACAGATGCAGGAAAGCAAGTGATGATTTTATTTTTTTATTTTGTTTTTTGAGAGATGTGGTACTCACGAAGATTTTCCACTTCCAGTAGGTCCAAGAATAGCGTTCAGGCCAGGTTTCATGATCCCACTACAAGATATTAACACAAGTGTATGTGACCAATTAAATATGGATAATTAAAATGTAAGGACATACCCAGACATACAAATGCTTTTGTTAGTAATGATTAGCAAGGTCTGTGTTCTTGGATTTTCACCTCACTGTATCAGTTTTACAATGCAATATAAAGGATGTGAGATAAAGGGGATTAATGTGGTTCTTTCTGAAATTAGAAGCATCTAAATGATTTCTCTAATGGCATGAAATTCATTTTCCTCTCTTGTACCAGACAAAGCAATGTTCATGAAAGGATTTTTGAAGCTGTTACAGATATCATGAACCTTTCTCCACAGGTGCATACAAAATGATAACTATAATCTGTAAAAAACCACAGAAAAAAATTTCAAAAACAAATCCCTCAACTACAGAGAGACCAGTTACACAAAAGAGTCAGTGATATAAAACGGAATTAAAAGACTGAATGAAAGTCTGGAGATGGATCACGTGAGGCTGTTTAATTCGTTTCCCTGGCAGGCTGCTCTATACTGCATCAGAGAGATTATACGCAAGAAATCATGCTTAATAGCAAATAATTAACAGTGTGTGGCAAGAAAAGGCCCAAAAAACTTGTGTGAAATTATTCATTCTTCCATGGGAAATGTCAGGAGTAATTAACACCATTAGAAACAAACCAATGTAAGCCTCTATTCACTATTGTCCAGCATCGTATAAGGATGCAATGAGCCACATTGAACTGACACAAAAAACCCGTGTTCTTTAACTGTAACCAGGATTAATACAATAAATGTCAACACTGAGCCAAAAACAATCAACTTTGCTGCTTCTTACTGAAAGTCAACAAACTAAAAAGCCTAATTTATTTTGTCTTGTTTGAGAAATTATCCTGAAGCATTGTTGAGTGAGTGTACAACAATCTGAGAAACATAAGTGAAGCACTTAATAGATTTTCTACAGAACTAAAACAACTAACCAATGCATCACAAATCAAATACTTATGGTTCTGCATGTAAAGAATTAATAATCATTAACATCCCTTTTAAATCGCTTTAACATTGGCATTATTTCTGTTCATTTCAGAAAGAAAGACAAGTACATAAAAGGAAAGACACAACTGACAAACACAGTAAAGTAAATCAGGACAGACAAACAAATATTTTATAACTGACTTGAGGTCCACCAGTATGTTCTTCTCATTGACAGCCCTCTTCCAACACGGGCCGCTCTTTATTTTCACTGTGTAGTTGATGTTGTGAAAGCTCACAATGGAACCACGTGGCCGTTCGCCCAAGTCCACGGCCGGGGTGAGGCTGGAATTGTCCAGCCCGTTGGTACTGATTTCGTCCATTCCAAAGTTGATGCGACAAGATTCCGCCATAATTGTTGACAGCAAACACCCTGTCGACAGTGGTCTGTGTGTCACACACTGATATGATGCAGAATGAGAGAAATAACGTATGAGTTTCTCAGTGTTTTTTTAGCCAGAAACAAAAGACTGCATCCAATTGAAATCATCAGATATGAACACATTTGAATGACATAATACATGAAGCTTACAGGAAGGAGAGCAGAGGTGTAATTTATCACAGTAAATGTAATATTTGATGGCAGCACTGAATAACGCACTCTGATTATTAGGCAACAGTGAAAGCTCAACAATATAGAAACACCGTGTTACAAGAAAAAGTCATGTATTCAAAATTCTACATAAGAGAAAAGCATTATCAGATCAAGTTACTTAAATATATTATTGTAGCGTGTGAAAGTGAAACTGATGTGATTTCTCTAATCTTTGTTTTTCTGTTAAATATCAAACAATATGACTTCTGTGTGCCTCAAACAGCCATTTAATTATCTATTTTTAATTAAATGGCGAAGAATTCATATAACAGAAGCCGCAGACACTACTTTTTTTTTTTTTTTAAATGAGCCAATTAAATTAATTAAAAGTGCATCATTGAACTCTAAAATGAAGAGAAGAAGCAGCATAAAATTTACCTCGAGAGAAGTCAAAGTACCTCAGAATTGCTCTGAAGTATTAAAAAAATTTTGGTTACTTCTCACCCTCAGTGTGGCTAATATTTAACACATTATGCACTGATTAAATGGGTAATGCTTTAAGATCTGGGAGGCTAAAGGATCGCATCAGAGCAAAGTACAACAGGCAGTACATGGATGAAGCTTGCTATGGCACAAAGTTTGATAGCAAATGAATCCATCCACCATAAATTTTCCATTTTGAAAAATAACATAAATGTTGACACCAAACCAGCTATTTGAAAGAGTTTTACATTATCATGCAAGTGTAGATAAAATAGTCAAATGTTCATACACATTTCTACAAGAAGATCGAGGTTGAAATAATGAGGAAAACATACTTATTTTACTAAAGGCACAGATCAGTCAATATTCATTATGGTAATATTAATCATTTTAAACAAATGTATCTAAAATTAATATGCACAGACTGATGTAGTGTTTTTTGTTGTTGTTTTTTTTTTTTTTTTTTAAATTTAAGTCACTTTTAATTAAAGGATTTTTGGAGCAATATTCCCGAAAACAGCACGTCGGCATGTCAGTTGTTATAGAAATTTTACATTGCTCTGAGAGCTGCTACATTAGCTCCAGTCGACTTTTACATACTACAAGTTAGGACAAAGCAAGCAAAAAAGGAGGCAAACTGGGCTGATGTGCACAAAATAAAATGCAGTTCTTCTAAATTCATGGTAAAGTTGACAAAATAAAGTATATTTCTATTTTCTGCAGAGAATTCTGTAGTCTGAGGTTGCAGGTTTAATCGTACGTTGTCTACAGCTTCATTGATAAAAAGAGACACAGAGAGACAAGTGTTAAATATAATAATAATTAGTAATAAGGCACGGCTCCATATTCTTGGTCAGTGTCTTTATATTTTCCTTCACCTTCTTCTGAATTTTTGTTTTATTTTATTTTTTTTACATTTCTCACCTAGCTACCATTGAGGACACAGAAGTCTTGAGCTTATTTAATCAGATGCATGCAGATGCTACTTTTTAATTTTGGTTCTGTGTGTTGTTGAAAGACAATGACCACATCTTCACTAACATTCAGATAAGCCCAGATAATGAGATTCAAAGGAGTATACTATAAACGTAAGCCTGTGTGGGGTTGGCTTTCTCACAAAAGCAGACCAAAATCCATCTTGTCCATATGGGACACATAACCTCAGCAAATTAAAATCACGTGGTCACATCTGATTCTTATACTGTTGCATTTTAATTTAGATAGAGGTGGATTTAATGCATCAACTCAGGTTGATAACTTTGAAGTTTTTGGGGTAATTTTAATGATGCTTGCTCCAATCCTGGAAAAAAAACAAGGTGCTGCGAAACCACGTGATTTCTTGCAAAAGCTAAATTAATTTTTTTTATTAAAATGCATGAGTTATTTAGAAAAGCATCAGCAACAGGTAAAGAAAAGCTTCATCGCAGAGACTCACCGGAAACCGAGGATGTGAGGAGGCTGCTGGTTCAGGAGCTGCAGACTGACCGAGCCCAGACCGAGCAGGCCGACTACCATCAGCAGCTGGCAGCAGCAGGGACAGAGACCACAGCGCATTAACCCTTCAACCACCACTGCATGCTCGGTACATTAACCCACCGGCTGACCCCTTAAACCCGCTGCAGTTAGTGGCATATCACAGTATTACGTTTTGGTCGAAGTTACAAAACACTGCAAGGAGAAGCAGCCACGTGTTTTCAACTAAAACCTCAGCAGGTTTTACACAGTCAGGCCTGCTGCAAGGCTGTGATGAAGTTTAGCAGGTCAAGACGGAAGCTGCTAACTAACAGACATTTAATCAAGCTAACTGTTAGCCTCCACTTAGCTGGATGTTGTCGACCAACGGCAGCAATATAGACAAACAATGTAAAAGTACATGTCAGCCAAACTACATATTAACAGCCAATATTGTTTACTAGCACACATTTAAATTAGTGTAATACAATTCAGACACATTCCTTAATTGATATAAAGCAAAATGTTACCTGTTAGAACGTGACGCAACAGCTCGCACCTGACTGGGCGCCTAAAGGAAACTTGACTGAATGCGACGCGGCCTTTATACCTTCTGATACTTGCTGTCAAATTAGTGAAACCTTTTTTCAAAAACAAGCCTTGACTTGTAAAACCTTCATTCTACTTGTGAAAATGCAAAAGTTAATTAATTAATTAATTAATTAATTTTTTTTAAAAAAAGTAGATTTCATAGTTTATTGTCCTACATAAACCACATAAGGTTAGATCAAGAACTGCTGGATTTAGACTGGTCAGATCTGGACTAGATTATCCTCAGTCTTGAAAACACAGTTTCTGATTCCTGAAACCTCCATTTGTGAAAATGCAAAATAAATTGATCAATTAAAAGATTTAGATTTAAAAAAAAAAAAAGAGCCAATTAAATTAATTAAAAGTGCATCATTGA